TTTGCTGGAGATGCTTAATTCTACTAGTTTTTTTTTTTTTTTTTTTTTCTGTTTTAAAGATTCTTAGAGATATTCTGCACCATCAGTCAAGCCATCTGCAAGTAGGAGTCACTTTACTTACTCCTTTTTGATTTGTATGATGTTTATTTCCTTTTTCTTGCCTTATTGATCTGGCTAGAACTTCCAGGATTGTTGAATGACAGTGGTGAGAGCAAGTATCTTAGCTTTGACCTTGACCTTATGGAGGAAGCATTCAATATTTCACCATTAGCTATAGGTTTTTCTACAGATGTTCTTCATAAAGTTGAGGAAGTTCCTCTATATTCTTATATTTCTGAGAATTTTAATTATGAATGGGTGTCAAATTTTGTCAAATGCCTTTTCTACATTGATTGATACCCTGTGATTTTCCTTCTTTCACCTGTTAATGTAATAGATTATGCTGATTGAATTTTAAATATTGAAACAGCCTTGCATCCTTGAATAAACCCCAGGTAGTCATGGGGTTTACTTACCTTACTTGAAGTAAGATTTACCAATGTAATTTAGAAATCATGGGGTCTTACTCAAAGTGAATTGGCTCACTGGAGGCCAAAATAAATGCAAAGGAACAACAACATCAGAAAGCTGAACATGCAATCTCTTGATTATTATTATCTGTAATAGCTAAATTACAGGGATAGTGTTGGGGCAGAACTTGAGGCTGGGCCAAGCTCGAATTCTAGCCATTGAGCCACAGCTGCTAGCCTCAGGGCCACTTACAAAGGGGAAAAGTTATGTTAAAACAACAGAGAGCAGACTTACTCCAAGAGACTAAGGCAAGAGAAAAGGGAGAGGGAATGGGTAGACATTTTAAAACAGTTATTAAGAAATATCATAAATAAAGTGGGCCTTGGTAGTGTTGAAACAAAAGTCTTAATGCAGCACTCTCAGAAGTTGGACTAATGGGAACCCTTACAAGTCAGTCCCCCAACATTGAAGACTGCTAAACAAATCCACTTTATTCAACCTAGTTTGGATAAATTGTAAAAGCTGCAAAGCAAAGATGACCGTGAGAAACCTGACTTCCAGTCACCTGCGTTGAAGGTACACAATCTAGTCAAGAACTGAAGAATGGCCAGGCAGGTGGCTCACACCTGTAATCCCAGCACTTTGGGAGGCTGAGGTGGGCAGATCACCAGAGATCAGGAGTTCGAGACCAGCCTGACCAATATGATGAAACCTCGTCCCTACTAAAAGACAAAAATTAGCCAGGCATGATGGTGCATGCCTATAATCCCAGCTACTCGGGAGGCTGAGACAGGAGAATTGCTTCAACCCAGGAGGTGGGGGTTGCAGTGAACCAAGATCACGCCACAGAACTCCAGCCTGGGCAACAGAGCAAGACTCCACCACACACACACACACACACACACACACACACACACACACACACACCCACCCACCCCCCCACCCACCCACCCACCCCCCCCCGAACCTAGGTCCACTGGCCCAATTTCTGGTTCGGGGCCCAAGACCAAATGTACATGAATAGGTAGTCAGGAGTGGAAAAGAAACATTTCTTTTTTTTTTTTTTTGAGACAGAGACTTGCTCTGTTGCCAGGTTGGAGTGCAGAGGCATGATCTCGGCTCACTGCAATCTCTGCCTTCTGGGTTCAAGCGATTTTCCTGCCTCAGCCTCCCAAGTAGCTGGGACTATAGGTGCACACTACCACGCCCGGCTAATTTTTTTTTTTTTTTTTTTTTTGTATTTTTAGTAGAGACAGTTTTACCATGTTGGCCAGGTTGGTCTCCATCTCCTGACTTCATGATCTTCCTGCCTCAGCCTCCCAAAGTGCTGGGATTACAGGCATGAGTCACCAAGCCCAGCTGAAAGGAAACAGTTCTAAAATTCTTTGACATGGGAGCCCCATGCACTGTTTTTTTTTTAGTGAAATTCTAACCAAGGTGACAGACTGGAAAGATATGAAAATACATTTGATAGGATTAAAGTGAAAGTCTGGATGAAAGCTGGAATGTTTGAACAGATTCTATTTGGAGTTGTTGCATCCCCTTTACATGAATGTACTATGAGGAAAATCTCCCTTACCTAGTAATGCAAAACACAAGACAGGTGAATCTGCCCTTCAGACAATATTGATTGGACATGCTAAATGGGAACCAGTGAGATTGCTGAGCCCACACAAGTTGTTAAAATCTATAAGCTACTTGATGCACAAAATATGTTAAAAAGACATTCTGGTACCTGAAAGGGTGAAGGCCACTTCTGTTTTTGGAAACTGATAGCGTCAAATGAGAACCCACAAGCCTGAATGCCATTGCTCTGAGAGACACTTTGATCATACAATATGATGATGAACTGGACCAGCTGTTGATGGCAGAGTGGAACTCTTGTATCTATCTGCCACTATCTTTTAACTCTAATTTTTCAAGTTATGTTTACTACCATATCATAATACAGTCTAACTCTGGGATTATAAGTGAGATTATAATACTCACATAGATGGCCACATGTATTGAGAAACCAAGTTAAAAGCCCTTTACACTGGCTCCTCCAAATGTCAGACATATGTTCATTTTACTGTAAGAAAGCTTTCACCAAAAGCCAGTTGGTGGCCATGTTGTAAAGGATTCAATCTTGCCCAAAGAGAAGGTTTGACTTTTTCCCTTGGCTTCTGGAAGGTTATCTATGTCATACCTAATAGGAGTATCTTTGTTTAGATGAGGACTGGCCATTCCAGAAAGACCAAACCTGAATTAGGTAGGGGCTTTTGTCATACACTATCAGTCTAGTTGAGTCTCGGTTCAACCAAGTGGATGACTGATCAAGCCTAACTGGTCGAGTCCCAGTAAAAACTCTGGACACAGAAGCTCAGGCAAGCTTCCCCGGTTGGCAATACTCCAAGCATACTGTCACATACCAGTGCTGGGAAGGTAACACAGCCTGACTCTATGACAGCAGGAGCTTTGCATTTGGAGCCCTCCAGACTTTGCCTTAGGCACTGCTTTCCTTAGCTGATTTTGATCTGTATTCTTTCCACATAATAAAACCATAGCTATGAGCATAATGGCTTTCAGTGAGTTCTGTGAGTCCTCCCAATGACTTATCAAACCTGAGGGTGGTTTGGGAACCTCTAAACTTACACTGATATCAGAAGTCTTGGACACTATGCCCTCAAATGTTGCAGTTTGGCTAACTCTGCCATAAGTCAAGAAAAAAAGCAAACTTTTTTTTTTTCTCCTTAGCTCCCTAGTTTTTCTAGAAACAACAATAAAAATTAAAAGTAAGCAATCAAAAATATGTGCCTCTATGCAAATTAAAATCACAACCTGACTTCACACCAACTACAAAAGCTATAATCAGATAGATGGATGCTAACAAGTGTTGGTGAAGATGTGGACAAATTGGAACCCACATACACTGTTGGTGGGAACACAAAATGTAGTCACTTTGGAAAACATTCTGGCAACTCCTAAAATAGTTAAACATAGAGTTGCCTTAAGAGGTAGCAATTCCCCTCCTAGGCATATACCCAAGAGAAATGAAACATATGCCCACAGAAAAACCTGTAAATGAATATTTACAGTTAGCATAATTCTAATAGTCAAAAAGTAGAAACCTAAATATTCCTCAATTGATGAACGGAAAATTAAAATATAGTATATCCATACCATAGGATATTTGTCAGTAAAAAGAAATATTAACATGTAGTACTTCATATCATGGATGAACCTTGAAAACATTACAGTTAGTGAAAGATAAAATGCAAAAGGCTACATATTGTATGATTCCATTTTTGTGAAATACCCAGAATAGGCAAATTTATAGAGACAGAAAGATAAGGGATTGCTTAGGCTTGGTCGGGGTTTGGGAGGAAATGGGGCGTGGCTGCTAATGAGTATAGAAGTTGGGGGGATTGTGACAAAAATGTTCTAAAATTTATGGTGGTGGTGGTGGCTCCACAACTGTATGTTAAAAACAATTTATTATGAGTTTTTAAAAATTTTTTGAGATGGAGCCTTGCTCTGTCGCCCGGGCTCGAGTGCAGTGGCGCGATCTCACTGCAACCTCTGCCTCCCGGGTTAAAGCAATTCTCCTGCCTCAGCCTCCCTGGTAGCTGGGATTACAAGCGCCCGCCAACATGCCCAGCTAATTTTTGCATTTTTAGTAGAGACGGGGTTTCACCATGTTGGATACGAGGGTCTCAAACTCCTGATCTCAAGTGATCCGCCCTCCTCGGCCTCCCAACGGGCGGGGCTTACAGGCGAGAGCCACCGCGCCCGGCCTATTATGCATTTCAAGTCGGGAATTGAACGGAATAGTGTGCTACCGAGACCTCAATAAAGCTGAGTTGTTTGCGTTTTTTTGTTTTGAACGTGCTTGGTAAAGATGAACTCCGAACTCAATGAAATTGAATTACCTTGGTGATTTCTTGGAACTCCCAGTTAAGCCTTTCCCGGTTCTCTGAAAAGCGAAAGTGGGCTGTGACCCTCTTCTAAGAACGCCAAGAAAATATGGGATGGAGCCCGGGATTTCAGAGCGCAGTCGCGGGGCTCCCGGGCTGAGCCGGCTCCGGGGAGCCGTTATCCGCCCTTTCGGATGCTCCGGGGCCTCCGAGCGTCCCGGCGGGCGGTCCCTAGCAGCCGGTGGAACTCCGGGGAGGAGCGCTCGCCACGCCCACATTGGCGGCCGCAGGAGGCCGTGGCCGGCCTGCAAACCCGCTCTGCGGGGTCCTAAGAAGCCCTCGAGCTTCCGAGGAGCGAGTCTTCGCTGCCCTGCCCGGCGCGCTCGCAGGTGGCGTTGCCCGGAACTCTGGTGCTCGCGGCGCTCAGGGAGCGGAGGCCCGGTTTCCGCGTGGGAGGCTACGGACTGTGGGCCCCGTCCCGAGGCGGGGGGAGTGGGAGACACCCGGGACCCCACCCCAGAAGCGATTCCGGCGGCGGTGCCGGCGGCGCCCCCTGGAAGCACCGCCCCGCCTGGGTGGTGCCCGCGCCGGCTCCTCCTCTTCCCCTCCGCCGCGGCCTGCCATGGTCCGCAAACCCAAACAGTGTCTGCGCCGGCCGCTCGCCCGCCGCGCGTGATCCTCGCCCCGCCGCCGCCCAGCGCTGCGCGCCCCGCCTGGCGGCCCTCGCCCGGCTGCTCCGGGCACCCGGCCTCGCGGAGCGATGCTGCTGCTGGCAGCCGCCTTCCTCGTGGCCTTCGTGCTGCTGCTCTACATGGTGTCTCCGCTCATCAGCCCCAAGCCCCTCGCCCTGCCTGGGGCGCATGTGGTGGTGAGTGGCCTCCTGTTGCTGCGCCCCGACCTCCCTGCCTGCGAGGCCTTTCCGCCGCCGAGGCCGCGCCGCCGATGCCCTTGTCTCCAGGCCGCGGTCCCCAGCAAGGCATGGCCGGATGGGGAAGGTCCCTGCCGGCGTCCACCCCGGCGCTCTGCCCCCGGCCGGGCACTCGGCCTCGCGGACCAGCCCTCTGCTGCCTCGGGCTCCTCCCGGGGCCAGAGAGCGCGCGACTGGGGACAGCGGCAGCCGCAGGGTTCCCGGGGCCCCGGGGTGCGGTGTCTGCTCCTGAAACCACGGAACATCCCTGGGATGTGGCTGTTTTTCCGATGAGTCAACTAAGGCACAGAGAGGCTGAGAAACTTTGCCAAGGACACAGCGGTCGGTGGTGCGCGGGTGTGGCGCGAGGTCCTGGGCGGGGGCAGACAGCGGGGAAGCGGGGTCCCAGCCGCCGGGACCCGCCGAGGCAGCTCGGAACTGGAAGATGGCCTGTGCGAGTGAAGGGAAGAGCTGCTGCCAGAGGATTCCAGGAAGTGACTCACCTGGGGAAACCGCTTTGAACCAGCGTGCTGGCGGTGGTGGCTTAGCGGTATTGGGACGCCTGTCCCGTCTACGCTGCTTGTCTCTGAGCTCTCTGAGGGTGGCATCTGCTGGTGGCTGCTCCAATGCAATCCTTTGCAGTTTCCTAGGAGAAAGGATGAGCTAAACGACGGGGCTAGTGTTCGAGGGATGAAGGAGAGGTGGATGGGTATGATTCGTTTCTTGCCGGCAGCTCGCTTCTTCAGCGATCCCTGTTCTGCAAGTGTGGCACATTTCTTAAACAGAGAGGATGCTTCCTTGCCTGCGCCCACCACTTTCCCGTTTTCAGTGGCAATCTCACCAGCTTTCTTGTTTGGATCTCCCAACCCCGAGGCACAGTGAGGCGGGGAGTTAGGAATAAGGAGGGTTGGTTACAAAGCTGGCAGCACACCTCTTCCTGTCCTAGCTCTGCCTGGAGATCCGCGCCTCCCTGCTGAGCTGGTATAAGATAAGATAGTCATTTCTTTCACTGTGCTTTAAATCTGAACGAGGGTTTATAAATGAGAAAATGTATTCTCTTTAATTTCTCCTTTTTAAAACTATTAGTTTTTTAAACGTTCTTTCCCCATTAGAAACACCCCCTGTTTCTAATGGGGAAAGAAGGTGAGGAGCTGAGTTGTAGGCTCATTACAAAAAATAAATAAGAAGGAGAGGCAAAACTTGACACGTTAAATTCTGAAAGTTTTACATCACAAGAGAACTGGTGCCTCAAAGGCATGCATGGCTTCAAACGTTGGATCCTTTCAGAGCTTGTGTTTATGGAGCATAACTTTGCGAAAAGTAAAGCCAAACGCAATGGCTTTGGCTTATTCAATAAGGAGAATGAAAATTCAAACCCCTTATTTATAAGACAGTTTCACTGAACCTTGACTCTAGTCCTTCCAGCCCCATCCCTTGGCAGGTCATAGATCAGATAATAAATGCTGTTGGCTGTTGAGGTAGACCAAGAATTTCTTATTTTTACCATCCCACTTTAATACACAGGATTATTATGTCACACTCTAAATAATGTGAGAATGACATGAATAATTCACATCGTGTCACCATCTGTCTTCTTTTTTAATGTCATAAGGAGACTGAAAAGTGTAATTATTGTTCTTGAGATTTGTTAGGAGTTGACTGGGTGGTATTAGGAGAGGGAGCTGATAGTTAGACTGTCTGCCTGTACAGGATTGTGAACACACTTAGAACTATTTATTGTTTCATTTTTAGAACAATTTTATATCCTGGTGTTATCTATCTAGTTACAGTAGTAAAATTGCAGCAAATCTCACAGGGCATATACTTACTTAAATCTTGCCCTTTTTGGAAATGACTGGCATTAAATCATTGTTGCCCTAAATAGCTATGTGGTGATAGTAACATTTAAACAATATTTTTAGTGAAGAGTAACAGAATAATAAAAGACATTCAACTGTTATTTTTTTTTTTTTTTCTGAGATGGAGTTTTGCTCTTGTTGCCCAGGTTCAAGCAGTTCTCCTGCCTAAGCCTCCCGAGTAGCTGGGATTACAGACATGCACCACCACGCCTGGCTAATTTTGTATTTTTACTAGAGACGGGGTTTCTCCATGTTGGTATGGCTGGTCACGAACTCCCACACTCAGGTGATCCTCCCGCCTCTGCCTCTCAGAGTGCTGGGATTACAGCCTCAACTGTTATCTTTAGTGTCCTGGATCTAGGCGTGTTTTAGCAGTTGTCAGGCAACTCGGCAGACATTTACACTTTTCTCAGTCATTGTGAAAATCCCTCATATTTTCTTATAACATTCAGAATAATGTAGCTCAATTGATGCAAGTATATTCTTAGATACCATCTAAGAATTAACTGACTAGAATATAAGTTTCCCATAAACCATGACCCAAAAGTAGAAGTCAGACTCTTGTTGTTATGGATAGATCTTACAGTTGGTCGGGTTTAAACCTTGTTTTCGCTTTGCGGTAAATTTACACAGCTAGCTTACCTATATACATTCTGGAAAAAGGACAGCAATGATAACAATAGCTAATATTAACATAACACTTCAGAGTGTATGCATTTTCTCAGTAACCTCATAACTTCCACTTCTATTAATTCACTGGATAAGTAGGGAAATTTTATTTATATATTTTTTGCATCACACTTTTCAGAGAAATGGTGTCATACTCCATTTTGCAAATTGACATAGGCAAGTATTTATTTAGCAAGTGCATATGCAAGGTACTATGCTAGGAATGAGTGAGGTCAGTTGGACTTTGTTCTGGTCCTTAAGGAACTGATGTGTGGCAGGGGTGCTAAGACATGTCTATATGTAACCTCACAAGACAGATGATGACAGCTAAAGGGCAAGAACCAGTGAGAGTCTGGAAAAGCTTCTTGGAGGAGGGGATGTTGGAACTGAGCTCTGTGGGATGGGTGGGACTTGGAAATGCAGACGTGTGGGGGATGTTAGGTGGAGGGACACCTAAGCAGCAAGGCAACAACATATAACAGGCAGGAATATTTTTAGGGGTTCAACTAGTTGCTATGCAATTGTAATATCTGGTGAAATTTAATAAGCCAAATGACCCATGGACTATCTTCATAGCAAAGATCTCAGAGGCAGCCATTAACCTAGGCAATAGTGCATGTACTCTCTCTCTCTCTCTATATATATATATGTGTGCATATATATATGTGTATATATGTCTATACATATTTTGTTTTTTGTTGTTGTTTGTTTTTTTTGAAACAGAGTCACTCTCTGTTGCCCAGGCTGGAGTGCAATGGTGTGATCTCGGCTTTCTGCAACCTCTGCCTCCCGGGTTCAAGCAATTCTTGCCTCAGCCTCCCAAGTATTGGGATTACAGGCACCTGCCACCATGCCCAGCTAATTTTTTTTTTTTTTTTTAGTAGAGATGGGTTTTCACCATGTTGGCCAGGCTGGCCTTGAACTCCTGACCTCGGGTGATCCACCTGCCTTAGCCTCCCAAAGCACTGGGATTACAGGTGCAAGCCACTGCGCACAGCCAACAACAGCTGTATTTTTATAGTAATCTTCTGTTGATAACTGGCTGATTGTCCACCAAATCAATCTATTCAGTGGTGGCAGATTGAGGTTAAAGAGAAGTAAGGGTTGCCTATAAGTCCCATAGAGATAGGTGCATTTGTATTTGCATAGGAGACACTTCCCAATGATGGTAAATTCCTGGGATGGGGTCAGAGATCTCCCTCCCAGCATGATTTACGTATGACAGTGAAATATTAGGAATAATCTAAATGTCCGATCATAGGGAAATAGTTAAGTTTTGATGCAGCTATTTGATGCAATATTGTAAAACCTTTTCATTTTTTGACAGAGGACAATATAATTAAAAAAAAAAACAGGATGCAATACTATGCAATATCATGTAATTTGCATAGGGACAGTGACTAGAAAGATATGGCCAGGTGTGGTGGCTCACACCTATAATCCCAGCAATTTGGGAGGTCAAGGCAGGTGGATCACTTGAAGTCAGGAGTTCGAGACCAGCCTGGTCAACATGGTGAAACCACTTTTCTACTAAAAATACAAAATTTAGTTGGGTGTGGTGGTGCACACCTGTAGTCCCAGCTACTTGGGTGTCTGAGGCAGTAGAATCGCTTGAACCCAGGAGGCAGAGGTTGCAATGAGCTGAGATTGTGCTGCCACTGCACTCCAGCCTGGGTGACTGAGCTGACATATGAGTGAGACTCTGTATCAAAAAAGAAAGAAAGAAAGAAAAAGTGAGGGAGAGAGAAAAAGAGAAAGAAAAAGCAAGCAAGCAAATAAATCCAGCCTGGGTGACTGAGCTGACATATGATTGAGACTCTGTGTCAAGAAAGAGAGAGAGAGAGAGAGAGAAAGAAAATGTTGCATTGTTCACTTACTCAATGAAATATATAAAATGTATTGAGCACCCCCCATGCCAAGTGCTAGGAATATAGTGGGGAACAGAAAAAGAATTGGTATTTTTAATGGAATTTATGGGGTGGTGTCAGGAAAGATGGTTGTTAATCAGATAATCACACAAATAAATCTGGAGCTGTTTATTATGTGCATGTCATCAGGTGAAGAAGAAATATGGTGCAGAAAAGTGTGTCAGGGTGGGGGCAGGGGAGACAGTGAAGGCTTTCCTGAGGAAGTGGTATTTGAGCTGAGATTTGACAGGCGAGTAGGTGTCAGTTAGATGAAGCGGAGAGGAGAGCATTCTTTGTAAGGGAAGTAGGATGTGCAAAGGTACTGCGGTTGGAGGGTTGGTGGAACTGAAAGACAGCCAGTATGGCTGAGCTGTAGATAGTGGTAGAATAATGCAAAAAGAGCTTTACTTTTCAGGATTTCCTTGTGACTGTATATTACTTTTATACTACGCAGTCATTTCAAATATATATGCAAGTGGTCATTCTTTTCATCTAGTTGTAGAGCTAATTTTGCATAAATGTGCATTAAGGAAATAAGATTCATTTGGATTTGGGATCAGAGGCAGACTAATGTATTATTTATGAGTTAGATTTATAGGGCACTTTTCCACCAATGAACTCAGAAAGATATTATAGGTGTGCAATTTATGGTTCAATAAGAAAAGGGTCAAAGCAGCAGGCCTTGCTGATAGTATCCTTCACGCTTACACTTAACTCCAGTCGTTAAGTTTGGGATGAAGAACCTGTAACAGCTAACTGTTTAGTTCTTGTAGATTCATTTTAAGAGCCCGTCATAGTTGTTTTTATAAAGCTTCCTACAGAGGGGAGATTTCAAGTGCTAAGAAGATTTCATGATTTTGTTTTAGGTTACAGGAGGTTCCAGTGGCATTGGGAAGTGCATTGCTATCGAGTGCTATAAACAAGGAGCCTTTATAACTCTGGTTGCACGAAATGAGGTAAGGCTTGTAGGTTATTATTACCAACTTGCTTCTTCACCTTGAAATTAGTCAAAGAGGCTGTGCTAAACATCGTAACATTCACACCTGGAAAGTGCATGTCTCCTTGATGTGAGATGTGTTTCCTGATTTACTGATTCTCTCATGTATTTAGGCCAAACACTTCTTTGTTGAAATCAGGTTGGCCCCACAAGTATGTGTGTAGCACCATTGGCATATTAGGCAACATCATCATAGATACTGCAGATCCTGAGTTGGGAGAGATCAAGACCTAGTTTAAGGACCTCACCTGGCCATAGGAAGCCAGGGAGGGACCTCCACCAGGCCAGAAGTGCTGGAAGCAGTGATTCTGGAGTTAATACCTGAAGGTGTGTAGGTGTTTCTCTGTAATTTTTTCCTATGATTTGCTTAGAACATGATATATATCTCTAGTGCAATCTAGACACCATAGAGGAATCTTGTCTCTCCTCAGAAGTTTAGCAACATATATTTTTCTGTATCAAGTCAACACAGAATCTGTTTTTATTTTTTGTCAGGGTTTGTTTTTTTCTTGCCAAAGTTTATTGAGTCTTTTCACACGGCACTACTGCTGGGATCTGACAGGCAGACTTGGACTTAACCATGGATGAATAAATTTACTTAGACACAGATTTTCAGTGAAAGAGCAGGCTGGGGTCTTTAAGCAGTGACACTGTGTGCACATGAACTGCCATGAAGTCCTCTTGCTCCGCATATAGGGGCCGGGGGAAAGTGACCAAGTGACCATGGCTGGCTTGTCCGCTACTGCAATTCTGTGGCTGGTATAGTGCTTGGCATATAGCACATGCTCAGCCATGTTTGTTGAATGAAGAAATAAAGGGAGGCATGATGGAGAGCCTGGGAATGTCAGCATGGCATCCTTGTGTGGGGATCTTGAGTTCACCCATGCGCCAGGAGGGTGATAGTATGGCAACTGCTCAAGTGGGTGGATGGCTGGACAGCACCCAGTAGGAATGGCAAGACAGGGAGGGCCTCAGGGGGAGCATTTAAATAATGTTGCAGAATTAGGCTTGGACGTCTAGAATTTCTTTTACAAACCAAGAAAGGCAAAATTAGCTACCTTTTATTTATAGCTTGACTTTTCTAACAATGAATTTGCTTTGGCATTGAAGCCACTTTACATAAATGAAAACACAAATTTAATGAAATGGCATTTTGTGAGTTAAACACCTGTTTTGATGCAAGTAAATAAAAGTGGAGGCAGGGAAGGCCAGCATTTCAGGCCCTCAGGACCACATGGGGCCCTTATGTTGCTAGAAATGAATTGAGCTGAAGAACCTGTGGTGTCGAGAAATCATTCTTTTTTATTTTTGAGATGGCGTTTCGCTGTCTAACCCAGGCTGGAGTGCAGTGGTGTGATTTCGGCTCACTGCACCCTCTGCCTCGAGAATAGCTGAGATTACAGGTGCATGCGACCACACCTGGCTAGTTTTGTGTTGTGTGTGTGTGTGTGTGTGTGTGTGTGTGTGTATATACACACACACACACACACACACACACACACACACTGTTGACGTGGAGCCACACATACCGTCAACTTTGAAAAGCACTGCATATCGGCATATCAATAGGGTTGTGCTTATCTTATATCACAATTAAATAATAAAATCAAAACATTTATTAGAAAGAACTGTAGAGTCAGCCTCAGCAATTAGTACTGTTAATTGGGGTTTTGAGGTTTATCTGTTTTTCTATTATTATTTCTCTGTAATTATTATTATCTTTTTTTTTAGTAGAAACAGGGTTTCACATGTTGGCCAGGCTGGTCTTGAACTCCTGAGTTATCCACCCGCCTCGGCCTCCCAAAGTGCTGGGATTATAGGTGTGAGCCACTATGCCCGGCCTCACTCTGTTGCCCAGGCTGGAGTACAGTGGCACAGTCTCAGCTCACTGCAACCTCCGCCTCCCAGGCTCAATCAGTCCTCCCACCTCAGCCCCTTGAGTAGCTGAGACCATGGGTGCTCACCACCACACTTGGCTAAGTTTTTGTATTTTTGGTAGAGACAGGGTTTCGTCATGTTGCCCAGGCGGGTCTTGAACTCCTGAGCTCAGGTGATCCACTCACCTTCGCCTTCGAAAGTGCTGGGATTACAACCATGAGCAACGGCACCTGGCCACAGTGCCTGGCCGAGAAATTCTTTCTTTTCTAATGTAATTTTTAATTCCAGTTCTTGCAAAGTCAAGCTGTATGTATCTTTAGTCATAGGGCAATACTATTTTATTATAGACACATTCAGGTTTAGAAACCCTGCATGCCTTTCGGAAGAATTCACCTCCCCTTTTGTTCCTCTCTATTGCAAGATATTATTTAAGCTACTTTTTATAGCAAATTAAGAAACTATAATCTGATTTGTGTTTTCTTGAGAATAAGTAAAACAAAAAAAATTAGGACCTTGGAAGAATTACTCAATTACACGGGTAACCTTGCTTGTCTTAAGGGTATTTTATAGTAGCCAGGCCTAGGTTTACCCAGTCCATCCAGAAAGTGATTCTTACTATGTTTGGTTTTATAGTAGAAGAAGAAAATATTAGACAAAAAACAGTGTTGACAGGGAGTCACACATTCCCTCAACTTTGGGAAGCACTGCTCATCGATAGGGTAGTTCTTGTCTTATATTACAACTAAATAATAAAATCAAAACATTTATTAGAACTGTACAGTCAGTCTCAGCAATTAGTACTGTTAATTGGGGTTTTGAGGTTTATCTGTTTTTCTCTTATCTTTCTCTGTAATGAATTTTCTTTTTCTTCTTTTTTTTTTTTTTTTTTTTGAGACGGAGTCTCGCTCTGTCAAGGAGCTGGAGTGCAGTGGTGTGATCTTGGCTTACTGCAACCTCTGCCTGCCAGGTTCAAGCAATTCTTCTACCTCAGCCTCATGAGTAGCTGGGACTACAGGTGTGCGCCACCATGCCCAACTAATTTTTGTATTTTTAGTAGAGACAGGATTTCACCATGTTGGCCAGGATGGTCTCGATCTCTTGACCTTGTGGTCTGTCTACCTTGGCCTCCCAGAGTGGTGAGATCTCAGGCGTGAGCCACCGCGCCCAGCCTTATAATGAATTTTCAAACTTGTTGTCACTTATTCATAGTTTAACATACTTCACAGCTTCTTTCTTTTGTAGGCTGTGACCTAGTCTGCCTATGTAATGTAGATACTGTTTTGTGCATTTTCTGGAATTTAATGTATATATATATAAATAATTGCTTTTTTTCTCTCCGTTGCAACAAACAGATGTATATATAACAATCACTAGGACTGATTATTCTGTATTGCTTTCAGGACAAGCTGCTGCAGGCAAAGAAAGAAATTGAAAAGCACTCTATTAATGATAAACAGGTAAATCTCTTATTTTCAGATGCATTTTCTGCATAACTCAGCACAGTTGTATAAAGGAAAAACAGGGCTACTTCAACTGTGAATAATTAATTGAAAGCATATATGATTTTCCCAATTAAAAACATATTGTACTGTTTTTTAAAAGGTGAAATTGTTTAAATTGTCTAGTAACTCAGAATATCACACACACACAATGAATAGACTCCCACACACATTCATATCTACAACTGGTCAAATAACAGAATGTTTTACTGGCAAATGATTTCATTTTAATTATTTATTTAAATGAACTTTATACAAATGCTTAAGAGGAAAGGAATATTTAAAATTTATTTGGTTATGGAATTTTTGATGAATAAAATGCTATATATATTTTAGTATAAAACATAATAACAAATTAGTAATGATACACCCATCGCCCAACCTAAGAAATGAATTGATTAGGGTCTCTGAAGCCCCCTCTATGCCCCACGTCTCTCTTTTGTCATTCCTAGAGGGACAAATTCCAACCCAGTTTTTTGTGTTGCTCCTTCCTGTGTTTTTCTTTTCTTTTTTTTTTTTTCTTTCTTTCTTTTTTGAGATAGTGTCTTACTCTGTCATTCAGGCTGGAGTGTAGGGGTGCAATCTCAGCTCACTATAGCCTTGGCCTCCCGGGCTCAAGCGATCCTCCCACATCAGCTGGGATTATAAGCACATGCCATCAGACATGACTAATTTAAATATTTTTGGTAGAGATGGGGTTTTGCCATGTTGCCCAGGCTAGTCTTCAACTCCTGTGGTCAATTGATCTGCCTACCTTTGCCTCCCAAAGTGCTGGAATAAGCACGGCGCCCCACCTCTTTATCTTTTTTTTTTTTTTTTTTTTTTTTTTGATGGGATTTTCTTTTTTTTTCCCTTGGGTGGGTTGAAGGGGCGGATCTCATTCCAGCCCCCTCCTCCTGGGTTCAAGTTGTTCCCCTTGCT